GAAAATGTCTGATTTACCAGGATGATATTCTCACAGGGCAAATTAAGACCTCTAACTTATCCAACAAGTTGAAGTAAAGAGCTTACATGTTTCAACACAGATGTAACAGCAGAATTAGAATCAAGAGCTGGCTGAATAACAGACATGAGCTGCATGTGACTTCATGAAAGCCAGACTAACATCCGCAATTTAGGACACAATTAAAAAGAAAAAGTAGCCAGGTCTGAAATTCCAAGATACTACACAGAGGTAAGTACTTGCTTAAACCGAGCAGCCATCTTCTATGATGGAAGTTCATGAGATTAATGGTCCTCCAGGCAACATTACAGGGCAACTGCCCGAGTTGAATTCCAGATATTATGAGTACTCCAGATAAGGTAATGGAACAACCAACTGCTTTATGAGGAACAACATCCTCCCCAAAGTATATCATAGTAAAAGAAGATCCTCTAGTGTAGCAGTGATTTATAGACGATCAGAATCAAGGTTAACAGTCCTCAGGCCAAAGATCAAACAATCTTCCGAGTCCAATGAGAACGCATTCTGAAAAAAAAAAACTGCAAGATCTCCAGACCACCTGAATAATGAAGTCTTTGGTAGTGGTGTGGGGGGTATACCTGCAAATGTAAAGTGTTACATACTTTTACAATGTAAATATCAACAATGGAGCTTCGGAGGGACTGTTGTACAAGCTAATAGTCATTGACTCCACGGACATACAAGAACAACCCAGGGCTTCAGGACCACAGAGGGTGATTGGAGCTCACTGTACTGCTCTATGCAGAGCTGACATGAAGACAAAAAGCTGAATGGCCTCCTTCTGTGCAGTAATTACCCTAAGACAATCTTCGAAGCGTGGGAGGAAGGAGTAAGCTGACACACAATGTGATAAATCAGTAAGAAACTGCAGTTCTGCATTGTTACCAATGCCCAGTTACATAAAATTTTTATGCTTTTGGACTGTGGATTTTACACAAGATAAGTTAAAATAGTCATGTGATTGGTTCTGAATTTTGCCTAACAAACAGGCACAGATGATGTGACTGATTAAAGATTAAAAGAAAGGCCCAGGATTGTTCAGTAGGGAAACAGTTGTAATGTGCTCATATTCGGACACAATAGTAGAAGAATCTGTGTGTCCGGGGTTTAGACTGGTCTCAGGCAGTCAATAGTGAAATCTTGCTGTGTCAACCTTTCAGCTATTTAACTGAACAATTACATTTCTTTTTAATGGGATTGTGACATCACCCACAGGCCCACTTGCGTATATCCCCTACCTATAATTTCCTCCTACATCACTTGCATAAATGACGAATTTTCTGTCATAGAAAGCAGCTGAGGCCAAAATTGTGAAAGTTCTCAAGAAGGAGATAAGATATATTTCTTCAGTCTAAAGTGATCAAAGGATATGGAATGAAAACGGGAATAGGGCACTGAGTTGGATAATCAGCCATGATCAGACTGAATGGCAGAACAGGTTCTCAGGGGTAAATGGCCTACCCCTGCTCCTATTTTCTATGTTTCCATCTAGGTTTGGGATATTTACTTCAGTGTTTGTTTTCCACTAAGAAGTCAGCCAATGGTTTTGTTGTTATAGATGCAAAACTACTTAACTGCAATGGCTGAAGGATAAAAGTAATTCATAAGGCTTTTTAAAAAGAACATTATTTTGAAACAAATGCAATACCCAAATTTATTCAGCTAATTGCCCCTAGTTTTATGTCTCATCCTGAGATTATTTTATTATTTTATGTTTTCAGGCCCTACGACCATTATACTGGTTCATTCACCTCTTAAAAAACCATGAGATGCCAAAATCACGAATTCAATAATGGGGGCTATTATTTTACTGTAGATTTTAGT